GGCATCAGTCTATTTACCCATCCATCCATTTGTAAAACAAGCATCACTTAAAAGAAAAAAGATGCTTGCTCCTTCCATCCAATCCACCATTTTTAATAATTCAGTTTAAAATAGAGAACAGTCTTCTCTCAGCGCAGCTTTGGAGACTGCAATATTAGATACATGCACACAGTACATCAATCCTGTTAAATATTGAAATTCCATTACATTGTCCAACTTCCCTTCTTGTCTTTTTACACACAAAGTATTTTTCCTTCATCTCCAAACCATCATCTGTGTGTCAGAGACGCTCTCTTGTCTGACAGCAGCAATTTAGAAGAGTTAACTTTTATCGTTCATTCTGCTGTGTAACTTTCCCCTTCAAATTTCTTTATCTGCCCTCTGTGCTCATCTGAACTTTCATGTTCTCCCAGCATGCAGGCTTGCATTCAAAACTATGTCTAATAGACCAAATAAGAGGTTAACAAGAAGTGGCAACAGAAAGGGTAAAAAAATACAATCCCTGGTAACTGATAAGAATGACAGTGGCAGCCCTTTATTGTTTGTCTTCAAATATAGAGTTAAAGATCCTTAAAAAACTAAAATTTGATGCCTTTGAACAGAAAGAAGCACAAAATAACAACAGGGGGTTATTGCCTTGCAGCCACAGGGGAGAAGCTCCATAATTCTTATTCTCCCTTTTGAAGGTTGTTAGAAATCTGATTCAAAAAAGCAGCAGCAGAAGGAGAAAACCTCTTGAGGCTATAGCCATTTCCTGTGATCATGCATAATGTGCTTCAAAAGTGGGTTTTTACCAATTCTGTTGATCAATTGCACCTCCTTGCTATTCCCCCCCTTTTTTTTCTGCCGTGTTTACATCTGATGCGACTCAATGACAAGCCCTGTCTGAGACTGTGAAACAGGCCTGTCATGTTGATTTATGGGCACATCAAACCACAACTTGTCCAAACTGAAGCTTGCAGTTCATTAATTAGAGAGTTGTGACTTTGAAGTCAGCTTTCAGACTGTGGTTTTTAACATTTGGCTTAATTTATATGCTCTTGAAGGTGGATCTCTAAGGGAAAAACTGAAATTCCCTTCTTGTCTTTGAACTTCTTTTGACCGCACAATAATCATTTCTTTGTCCAGAGTGATGCTTGCATCCCAGAGTCATTAACGCGCATTGAACTGCCACTGATGAGTAAGCCCTACTGAATTAGAAAAACAGCCAGCAAAACAAAGCTGAGAGCATTCTGCACAGTGATATCTCACAATTACATGCCTTCCCTCCCTGTGCCATTTCCATTTTAATTACTCTTAGTCCTTTAGATTTACATTTTAGACATTTTTTAATCTGTTCCTTTTTTATTATAGTCGCGCCCGTTAGCAGGCTCTTGTTAAGGTTTGTGTCAGCATTTCCTATTATAGCCCCCCCCACCCCCCAATTTCATAACTCAGCTGTAAAATTCACACTTGGCTTAAAACTTAGTTTTCCACATTGCAAAAGAGCAGGCTTGGTGATGGGTAGGGAAATGTATGGAGCAACATGGGAATGGATGCTTTGGGATCATTGCAACTGCCACACAAAGACAGGGGTGATTCAGGTGCAATAACACAACCAACCAGAAGACACCCATCTAGATAAGCCCCAAGCTAGGGTTTGGCTGATGTGATGGGGCTGCATTCCCTCAAAGACATATCCTAGATGACAAATGGTGGAGCTGGCTAGAGCTGCCAGAAGCCACAATGCAAGTACTTTCTCCTGAAATTATGTAATCTGCTATCATCTAAAAGTCAATTAACCACAACTTATGACAGCTTCACATAGCATAGGCATAAGGCAGGGAATTATACCTGAGCTATCAGTAGCATAGCAATGAAGGCTTTTGGAAAAGAAGGTGTGATGATCTATCCCCACAAAGATGAGAAGAGCACAGGAGATGTTTTTTCCCTGTGACACTCTACGAAAGTGACAGTTGGACTTTCAAAAAGCAGGATAGAAACAGTACTGATGCTCTTAAACTTTATATTGGAGAAGACTTCTGAGAACATCATGGGCAACCAAGAAAACAAAACAAAGGATTACAAAACTAATAAATGGGAAGTTCTCGTTTGAGACACAAACAATTAGGCTCAAATTATCATATTTGGGATGCGTTAGGCAAAACCCAGTACTATGGTGAAGCCTATAGTGGCAGGAAAGATAGAAGTAAAAAGAAAAAGATCTACCAGCAGCAAACTGGTTGGATGAGACTTCAACAAGGATAGATGGATCTTTGGAAAATCTGAAAGGCCAGATTGGGGCCAGATCTGTTTATGTGAACACTAAGGTAAACACAGACTTGATGGGACAATTGATCAACTTCTGCAGGGCCAAAGATATCATCCCTATCTTAAATGTTCACAATCTGCTCAGTCTTCTCTAGGAAAAAAAAAAATCAAGTTCAGATAGAATTCTACAACAATTATAACATATGATGGAATTCACAAAGTCTTTGTTGTAGAAAATAGCAAACATCCATGGATTATGAGACATTTCATAATTAAAAGGAATTTGTATGCCACAAATTTTGCAACAGGGAAAACTATTCTACCAAAAGCACATTCCCTGTTAAGGTTTTGCCTGTAAATACTTTGTGAGGTAATTTTTGATCCACTAATCCTGAGAAGAATTGAAATTGTAATACTTCTAGTAAGGATAAACTAGTGAATCTTCAAGAACCTTCAACAGATAAACCTTCAATCTTGTAGCATGTAGGAGAAAGAATAGGCTCTGAAGGCATGTATCCTTTGATAGGAAAATACGGCAGCACTGCTCTGAAGGCATGTATCCTTTCCCAAAATACGGCAGCACTGCTCTCTGGCTGTTTCAAGGGCCAACAAGCTAGGTGATAGCAAGTAAATGGACAGAAAAAAGAAGGGAGAGAAAATGAAGGTTTTTGCTCACCTACAGCCCAAAACAATAGAAAGCATTCTTGTCTTCGTCTTTCTCCCTCACACATAAGGAACAAAATGTGGTTGATGGGTTTATTTCCTTATTTAATACTAATCAGATTGCTTTGAACAGCATACAAAGAATTTCCAAAGAGAATTTCCAATAAACGATAATAAAGTTACACCCAAGGTAAAATCTCATGGCTGGTCTCCATCCTCACTAGGCATATAATTGTCAAAAGTATACCTAAGAAAATTCATTGAAAGAAATTTCTTAAAACAAGATGCAAGGAAGCCAAGCATACTTCTGGGGCAGCACACTGCTGACCTAAACCAGGTAGCATAGATCCACCCTGGAGCCATAGCTGAGCAGCAGGTTGTGGCATTCATTAAGTCCATGACAGATACAAGATTCAGAAGAAGGCATGGCTCCACATCTGGGCAAAACAAGCCAAAGGATGGCTACACATCTAATCCCACATGGCCATAAGCGGGACTTGTTTTCCACTACCATTTGACTTCTTTGCTACCTGTGATAGCAATTCAAAGGCTACTCTAATAATTATAGATTTTTAAATCAATATATAAAAATACTTCAGGGTTTCAGTTTTTCATGATAATAAACTACTCTTCAAGTGGCAACTGTATTAGAAAAGACTGTCTTTCAATAGTTAACACTTCCTTTAAACAATTTTTTTAGCTCCAGCTTGCAGCTATGCAATGAAAGAGTCTACACTTCTTACTCCATCACTCAAATGTCAGACTCAGGCTTCTTTGCCATGAAACCTACATGCAGCTGAATGTGGAGAACAATCCAGGACCCACAGTCAGTTCATAAAGAGAACTAGCAAGTCTAATGGGTATGATTGTTTTCCTGCTGAGAAAATATGGTGCCTCCCAGGTTCTTCTATCTTGTATACACACACACACACACAACCCTGCAGATATAACACAAAATAACTGATAATGGCACATAAACTGTCTTTCAGCAAATTCTGTCCATCAACCTTTATCTTCTCTTCCTGTAGATGACCTAATGGGCTCCAAGAGAAATACAGTATCTCCTGGAACTATCTAAAAATATTTTTTTCCAGAGGTAAGTGCGGTTGTTTGGTAAGAGGTAAAACAGGGAAAGGATTACAAGCAGAAACAAAGATATCTAAGGTTGCAGCAAAACAAGACGATTTTCGAAGACTGAGAGAGCTCTGATCATTTTAAACACTCAGCAAGATGAAAATGCATAAAATCGATTTATATGCTGCTTCTATTTGTTTAGAATATTAAAACAGAGCAATGATTCCTATCCCTGTGGGAAGAGATGCTACCATCTTTGTTCACGGAATAAGCATGAAACATAAGTATCCATGATAGGGGAACTCTGATAATACGGGTACTCACTTGGGCAAGGAGCAAGTGACCATTGTGATGGCACAAAGCAAACTTTGCACTGTTTATATTAGATATACGTATGGGGCTGAATTTGTTGGTCATGATGTTTAGATGAAACTACTGGATTCCATGAACACCTCTAGAGTCAGACTTTTTAAAAAGGAGTAGAAAGAACAATACAAAACATTGTGCTTATGCATTCCTAGTTTGCTCGCAATGCCCCAAACTAATCGGACACATTTTTCTTGGGGTTGCAATGAATGGAACCCCACCTCCAATAGGCTGCACCTGTAGGAATTAAGGTAGCACGTGTATAATTTAGTAAAAGAAGCTAGAATTTATCAACCAACTGTTTGGCAGAGAAAGGAAATGTAAATCAAGCTCCATCCAATTCCAAAAGGGCAAATTCTGGCTCTTTTCACCAAGGTACATGTGCATGATGGAAGCTGCTGGGTTGGTGAAGTTTATATTACTTAGTTTATCTTAACTACTTTGTATATGTTAATTAATCATTCAGCCACATAGATGTACATATGGAAAGTGGGCCATAGTGACAAAATAAGTTACTAGCCTTTATACTGTACTAGGCTTTCAAAGGACAAATTTACCAGACAAAGGGATTTTTTTTTAAAAAAAATAGCTGCTATACTTTTGTTCATTATCTCTAGATTGCAAGTAAAAATGGATTTTAACAGTACCTCTTTAGGTTGTTTTCCAGCATGTTGTTGCTGTAGAAGTTGAAGCTGCAACTGTTCCTGCTGTTTCTTATAAAACTCTTGAAGCTGCTGCTACAAAAGAAAATAAAAGGAGACAAGGAAAAAGAAGAAGGTAGAAGTTATTAAGTAAAACAAAGTGGGATAGCCAATTCAGGATCTCCTTTTGGTAATACACAAACGACGATTTGAAAAATAGCATCCTTTTATCTGTAACACTCTGACCTTTAGTTTGATACTCGACAATAAATTCAATGCACATTGACTATTCTTGGCATTATCGTTTGGAAAGTAATCTCCAAAATGAACTGATGAAAAACATACCATTTTCTACACAAACTAATTAAAATAAGGCAAGGGATGACCTTTGATTGAAACAACAAAGCCAGAATGCCCTTGCTACGAGTGCCTGGTGAATCTTTATTTGGAACATATACAAGCATTCTAAATCATTGTTGCATTGTGCTGTACCAAGCATCATTTAGAGCAGACACAGGGTTCCCTCTCCCATTGACTTTGCTCACTATTCCAGACAGATAGCTAATTTGATGCTTCTGTTCTGCGAATTAATACTTGAGAGAGTGAAGCAAAGGCACCGTGTTCAATGTCATCTTGGAATGGTCTCTGGGACTACTGCTCTATGAATGAATGAATGAATGAATGAATGAATGAATGAACGAATGAACGAATGAACGAACATTTTACTGACATACCACACAAAGTCATTTGAGGATTTAGTTAATTAACAACATTTTGGATGAAGAGGATGTTAACCCACAGCTGTTTCATAACCTTCAAAACTCTAGTATGCATTTCTGTTTTGTTCATCATGACAAGATTACTGCCCTTGCTATTTTTCACCAGCTACCTTCCACTCATGTATGAGCCACAAATGAAAGAAAAGTGATTTTAGCCAGGGTTTAACATAGGCTGATTAATACAGCAAAAGCGGACAGACCACAGTTGCACAGATATTTCATAATATTTATATGATGGGAAATAGATTAGATTTCAATGCCCTCATTATTTCCTAAGTTAGCATGAAGGGCTTGCCTCTATTAAAAAAAATGGCTCCATGAGAAAGTTAAACCAAGGTATTAAATAAAACTTGTGGCCAAGTAAAGATTTTAATCCAGATCTCCTATTTCTAAATCCAATATGAAACTCCTACACTGCGGAGATTGTAAAAAAAGACAGGTCTGGCTCAGCTGTTTCTGTTGTGTTACAGTGCTGCTTGTTATGGTCTAAAAGCAGAGTTCTCCAATGTTTCCAGCTTTGCAGAATGGGGGGGGGGATGGTTTGCACAAACGGCGGGCAAGTGCGTGCACAGCTCCATTTGTGAGAGCGGTGTGCACACACACCTGCTGCTCACGCAAATGGAGCGTGTGCACATGCCCTTACCCACTGCTCGCGCAAGTGAGTATTTGCATGTGCGCGCGCGTGCTAGCTGACTGTTTCCACGGCCCGGTTGCAAACCCCTCTTGGCCCACAGGTGGGGGACCCCTGACCTAAAAGACGAAAACAGTGCCTAAACTAACAAATTGCAGTATGAATTCTTTTAGGCAGACACTGATGAAAAACTCATTTTTAGAAACATATATGAAGCTTGGGATCTCTTTAAGCCCATTCTGAAAGTATTACTGATAACATGTGGAGAAAAGCTTGGGAAGTGTCAACTCTTCAGACCATGATTTTGCCCAATCATTATTCATAGTTGCAACCCCGGCAAAAAATAGAAAGAACTATAATTCACGAATGATGGTGAATATATGTGACCCAGGATAATGTTGCAGGATCCAATCAGGGTTGGTCACTGGGATCAGAGGTTTAACCTCTTCCTAAACACTAAAGAGGTTTAAGATGTTTACGCATCGGTTACAGGAACTAGGCTTGGCTAGTCTAGTAAAGAGAAGGACCAGGGGAGACATGATAGCGGTCTTCCAATATTTGAGGGGCTCCCACAGGGAGGAAGGGATCAAGTTATTTTCTAAAGCACCTGTAGGCCAGACAAGGAATAATGGATGGAAACTGAACAAAGAGAGATTTAACCTGGAAATAAGGACAAATTTTCTGACAGTGAGAACAATCAACCAATGGAACAGGTTTCCCTCGGAAGTTGTGGGAGCGCCATCACTTGAGACTTTCAAGAAGAGATTAGACTCCCATCTGTCAGAAATGGTGTAGGGTCTCCTGCTTGGGCAAGGGGTTGGACTAGATGACCTACAAGGTCCCTTCCAACTCTGATTATCTGTTATCTGGCCTCAGTGTCTGACCCAAACTGGATCCTGCAGCACTAACTACAACTAACATATACACCATTATTCAGATGTGTATTTCCTATAGTGAATACGAACAAATGGCACTTTGTTTAACTTGACACTCTACAGATATCTTTGGGAATATTGTCATTACTAGAATTCCTAGCTGGCAGGGAATTCTGGGAATTGCAATTTCATCATATCTCGTGGATGCTGGGACATAAACATGGAACAATCACTAATTTTAGGGAGATACTTGACATAGAAACGGCATTACTATAATAGCCTTCCTTTTCCAATAGCTTGTGTTGGTTAGCTGAGCCGCTGCTAAAGAAAGCAGTTACCTGTTGAAGCATGAGTGCCTGCTGCTGTTGGAGCAGGACCTGAAGTTGCTGTGGAGTTAGCACTTGCTGCTGGAGAATCTGCTGCATTTGCTGGGGAGTGATAACTTGAGGTGTCATCATAGCCACTGACACTGGAACCTAAAATATAAAGACAGTATAAAGAACAAGCAGTTCAACAAACCTTCTGTCAACAGAGAGTTGTTCTGTTACATTTCATTTTAAATTTCTCTTTCTACTCTACACCTTTAAAATAATTGCTTTAGTGAACTTGAGCTGAAATCTGCAGAAGTGGATTTTTTTTTTTTTTGACTAGGCAAATACAATACTGTATTGTTAGGTCACCCCAAATGTTTTTCGTCAAGCTTTTATTTTAAAGGATGAGCAAAGGAATAATAATAATAATAATTTTTTAAAAAACTGATCGCGTCTGATTTGGTTTGGGGAAACACTGTGCCGGCCAAATAAGTTTGTTTTCTTCCCATTCCACTGAAATAGATGTTATGTTCTGAGAAAATCAAGCTATTAATCCACGCATCTTCTAGAGGTGCCTATCAATTTTGACAAATGTTGCATTAATTAACAAGTAAGACCCTTCAGAAGTGGCCATTGGGGAGTTTCAACTTAATGACTTGAAGCAAATTAATGCAATTTCAGCAATACAGAAAACACACCTTGCTCCCCAGCAATTTTAGCAGTGGAATTCCTACGATGATGTCTCAACCGTTCCGCATTCACCTAGCATACAGATGGCTTCAATTCTTTTGTATTATGTGAGATACTATTAAAAGCCGCTTTCCATGACATTTCAGTGACAAACAGCTACAGTGATGAACTTGATAGCATTTCATATTTGCAACTGTTAACACGTTTCTGCACGGGCATCTTTGCAACGAACCTGTACACTCTATCTGAAAGGATGATGTCTTGTTCAGATAAAACACTGACATTAAAATGACAGGCTGTCTCGGCCAAGGTTACACAAATTGTATTCAAGCGGATACCTAATGACAATGCTTTGAATTCTGCAAGCTTTCTAGAATGTAATTTAGCTATTCAAAATAATCACTGCACTTGTGTTTAATTTGCAGACTACATGAGAACCATTTTGTCAGTTCCGGTAATGCAACAAGACTATTTTGCAAGAAACCCCACCAGAAAAAGAGAGACAGAAAAAAGAAAAAAAGAAAAAGAAAGGAAAGGATGAAAGGGGTGGGGGGAGAGTTACAATTGAGGGGGGGTACAAAACTCACATGACTGAATAAGTAATATTTAAGCACAATACTTTTCTTTAGTTTCAGCTCAAATAGGTGACAGCAAAAAACTAAAAGCAGTAAAAGGATATACTTAGTTAAAAAGAATCTGCTGTCATCTCATATCCTGCAATGAAAGGTAATAACATGTTTTGAACATTTTTATGCAGCACATGTTAAAAAATCAGCAGACAATAGCTGCTCGGGAGACAAAAAGGTTTTAAAAATATTTCAGCGGAGTAGTAAGCAAGAAAGAAATGCAGTATTAATTTTATGTAACATAATGTCTTCGTGTGCAGTTTTTCTTGCTTTTTTTCACATGATTTGTCCTATCATTTGCATAGCAAATTCCTATTCCTAATTTCACAGTCATTATGCACTGATGTACCGATTTCTCAGCACCGCTAATTTTGATGAACTAAAAAAAAAGGTTTCTGAAGGTCAGATTTATGTACAGCAAATACCATGTGGTGTGTGTATGTTTACCCATTTTAGAAGCAGTGCTTAACTGCATCTGTTTGGTACTATTATACTCTTTGACCCTCATTAACATAATACAAGACACTAGCTCGGTAAGTGTCAGAAACATTGTTGTGTCAGTTAGGGTTACCAGGATATGCATTACAATGTAAAGTAACCTGAAGCACCTATATCATCTATGGACTGCATGAACACAAATGTGTCTCAAAGCCATCACATTTGAATTTACCTGGGGGGGAAAAAGGTTTTATACATATTGGAATTATTTTATGTTATGCACACTTCTGTACTGACAATTATTTATGGCATGCTTGCAGTTTGAGTTTATTGTCCTATAGAATTACAGCATAATTTACTAGACAAATTTTAGGAAACAGATACTAAAATTCCACAGATATTAATGGTAACAAGAACCAAATCCAAACCAGAGCACTGAAATATAGGTATAGAATGGTTAAGTATCGGTGACAAGCGCTGAGATACAGAGACTATTAATTCCTTAAATCATTGTCTTATTGATTTCCATTCAAGTAACAAGGGGAAGACATATATAGAGACTGGCTGACAATAATGAAACAAAGAAAAGAACAAGAGCATAAAAAAACAAACAGAAGAAATAGATTAGATGCTGATTTGACACATTTACTGGTTTGGCAGAAACAAGCTTTCTTTCATTCTACTGCAATCGCCAGATTCTTCAATGTATCACAAATGCTGCATACAATTTATGCAGGGTGAGCTGTGTTGTGGGACACGTCCAATAAAAATTAGTCCAGTTACACCCAAGTAAATCTTGATCCAAACTAATAACGTTAATTCTAACATCAAGCAGGGTAGTTTCGGTTAACCAGTTATTGGTTTAAGTACTTTAAAAAAAAAACTAATTCCATAGAAAGACAGATATCACATGATTATACTTTTGATTTTGTAGACTTTTGTTAAAATATTTGATTGAATCTGCCTGTACTTCATAGTCGTCCTTCAATATTTTCACTAGTTTAGAATTAAAATATTGTGCACCATTTCTTAGCGTCATCATTTTCTTCTATGAAGAAAATGTTGTAATTAGATTGTCTTAATGATGGACCCAGATATACGAAAGCAAACATTTTTTGATTTTTTTAAAAAATGTTACTCCTGATTGATGTATGAATCAATTTTATTTGATCAGATTTAGGATGGAAGTATACACAATGACTGGGTTTTTTTGGGGGGTGTCTTCTACTCAACATTCATTTAATGCAACTCTGGGTATGAAGAATAATTAGAGACTTGTCATAAATTAAGGAAATGAATGTTTTCTTTCCTACAGATTATCTATTCCACAGTGCTATCATAAGTTTTTGAAAATCAAAGGGAAAAGCATTTTAATGTCCTACAAGAAGAAAGAATTCCACTATTCTACTATTTCCATTTCCATTTCAGATGATCACAACTGTTTTTTTTTAATTTTTTGCTTCAGATGATAAAAAAGAGATCTGAAAAAAGATTTTTACATAATTTGCATATCTCCTTTCCCTGACAATGTGTGACAATGAATGGGTAAGTGCACCGAAGCCATATTTACCAGTTACAAGCTACTGTAAGGTTAGCCTAGCATTATGGCTAAAAAGACCCTGAGAAATGAACAAGGAAACGAAATGTTCTTGCCTTTTCCTTAGCATGCTGGTGGGAAAAAAAAAATTCCTGGGGCCAGAAACAAGTGTCGAACTGCTCCTCTTCCTCTGGATTGGTCCCGCTATGTTCTAAGGAGAAAGGACACTGGAAGCAGGGCTACGGAATGGCTCTACAAAATATTGGGAGGAAAACACTGGCTGTTGTCCAAGGGAAAAGTGCCATTTGTTTCAACTTCAGCAACTGTTGTCTTCTTCACTATTCCTGCTTCTTCTCTTACCCACTTCAAGCGTAAAATGGTGAAAGGAACGTTATTCCACAGCCCACTTCCAAAACACAAGGGAATTACCTAGACTAAGTTTTAAATAAATACATTTCTTAATTTCCAAATGTCCCACTTATTCATGTCACTAGTCCCTAACACTACTAGAATTCAAAGAGAATGTGATAGCAGCAATGGGCTATTACAGTTCACACTTTATTACCCACAACTACTAAGGTCATTAAAACAAGAGTGATTGTACGGATCTTAAGTTATTGATTGTGGTTAAGTACTGTTATTTAATTCTATGCAGAATATCTGGGAAGCTGCTAAAGGCACACAACAAAGAGTGCTAAAAATTCCAGCCAGGGCATGGAAATTTCACTGAGATTCATAAAAACTAGCTAGTGGCTCAAATCTATAGTATTTAAAGCAGTCATGTAATTTCTAAACTACAAGTTCTAATATTTACGGCTCCTGGTTTGAATATATCGCATCAAAACAGTACTTGTTTTACATACATTACACTTATATCTGAGTGAAATAAGAAATCTCTATTTAATCTTGTTCTTTAGCATGTTAACACTTTAATCCTGGATGGCTAAAATTTGAGATACCTTTTGCAAATAATATTTAAAATCCATTTCTTTAAATCTCATCTAATTTTATAAAGAAAAGAGACCTCATACTGGTAACTATCCAAACACATCAATCAACAAACATTTATTGATAGAACATGTCTTCACGACTCTGAAATAAACTAATTACAAGGTATGCTAATAAAATACATGTTATGAATGACAATAAAATGCATGAAACATGATCAGCGTAATCATAAGAAGCTCCTTCACAGTAAAACAAATGAAGGTTATAGATTATGCTTATTGATTTCAAGAATGTGTAAATCTGTATGGAGCTAAGATACAGACAAATGGAAGTTCAGACTGCAATACACAGAACATTTCCTCAGGAGTAAGTTTCATTTAACACAGCAGGACTTTAATTCCAAACATCATATATAATACTAGCAACGTGCTACTCATCCAGTCTGCTCTGTGAAACAACCATCACTTCATTGTTCTGTTTAATTTTAAGGAGACAGTTGTGTGATTTATTTAATCACTTTCCAAAATTCTCTTCAATCTGTAACCCAGGTTCTCTGAGTTCAAAGGGCACCAAGGACCCCAAGTTAATAACTTTCACCCAGTCCTCTTTTTATTGACAAAGTGTGGTAGGCAACTAACATTGACAGAGACAGTAAAGACAAAATACAGGTGCATCCCTAACACAGTCCTACTAGAAGAGATATACTGACACTTCTTCTGTCAGAATTTGAAAATATGCCTTTAAATGAATTCAACTGATCCTAGGTTCATTTGATTGGTCTATACATCGCATCACTGTAACTTTATATTTGGTTCTAAACTCATTTTTAGGATAAAATGGTGATTTCAGGGTAATAGTTTTCTTTCCAAAATTCAATTTGTTTAATTAGACCGACTGCTAAATATTGCCTTTCTCCAACTCCCAAT